AGGAAGGGGTCGTCTAATATGTTGTCTCCAAACGATTGCTCCTCTATTAAGCCGAAATCACCTGAAAATGACAATTAATAACAAAATATTAGTACATATTATGTAAAATATTTTAAAGAATATTCTATGTTTTAAAATTATGATTAGACATTAAAGTTTTTTCAAATAATTCAAAATATTTTTTCGATATATCATATCATTTGAAAGACTTCTCGGAAATTATAAATTCCCCCAAAAAATAAGTAAATTCTATACAAAATAAAAGAATAAATGGATTTAAGAGTAAAAATTCAATTCAAGTAGAAATGTAAAGCTCACTAAAAACAGGATTCTGTAAATTTAAGCGAAAGGCATCGAAAACACGGCTTAAATAGTAAGGAGACTGACTCTCACGTGAAGTAAAATGTGATTTATTTTAGATTGAATTGATCGCAAGAATGAATTAATACTATATTTCGTAACTTACTAATATAGATATGTTATAAATAGAAATAAAGTTTTATAAATATTCAATATTCTTAATTAATATTAATATAAATTATCTAAATAGGAATTATAATATTGTATAATGATATAGATATGGTATTTAATACCAGTATATACTACTATAGTAAATGTCAAAAATAATTGTCTGAATTAGTTAAAAGGTAAGTCATAGAGGGATGGGTCACCTGTCGGTGAATGTGATGTATGGAAGGCATTACATAAGAGGATAAGAAAACTGAGATTTTAAATAGTTTACTATAATTTAAATTTAAAGCAATTATAGAATAAACTAAATGAGAACAAAAAAATACATTGAGTAATTATAGGGAGATGAAATATTTATTAACAAATATTGTAGATTGAAATATAGATATCATAAATGCTTGAAATATTAATGAAAATATAGATTATTAAAAATTCAATTATAATTTGGATATATTTATATTTATAAATCGATTCTGAAATTAAACATAAGATCTCAAAGCACTAATATACTAACTATACAGTAATATAACTTACTGTTTGTACCGTATAAATATGTTTAGTACATCTATTGGAAATAATAATAATAAAACTGTTTGAAATATAAAATATCATTAATAAAAACTAAAAATAATTAATAAAATATTTCAAATAATCGTTAAAAACAGAAATTATTGCACAATTTAACCACTCGCTCAATCAGACAATTAATGTTTTATTTATTTGAAAAACTAAATACCGTATTACTTAAAACTCATTAATATTTTTCACTCACTAATTGGCTCGGGGTCACTCAACCTTCAATAAAGTGAACTAATTTTCGTATATACTCTGTACTCTAAGTGTCTCAGGAATCTCTAATTTATGTCATTATGAATAAACTGAACATAATTTAAACATATTGTAATTTACAATAAATACTAATAAATGGGTTTAAACTATGGACAGACACTTACATTGGGATTCATTACTGGGAAACGAGAAACTAAGCAAAGAATTAGTCGAATGATTGGAGAGCTCCTCATAATTGAGTCCATTGAGAGTCAGGCGTTAAAATGGGTTTAAACTATGGACAGACACTTACATTGGGATTCATTACTGGGAAACGAGAAACTAAGCAAAGAATTAGTCGAATGATTGGAGAGCTCCTCATAATTGAGTCCATTGAGAGTCAGGCGTTCAGTCTGTGAGCCGAGGGGTGAGTCCTCGCAATGGTTGGTAGTGTTGGGCGAATAAAAGCTGGTATCCATCGTCGGACTAATGTTCACACAATTATCACTGGTTTCCATTACATTCACTTTGGGATTGACACCGGAGTTGGTCGCCATATTCGTGGCCAACGAATTCAAAATGGGATTGTTTTTAGCACTTTCTTCGAGGGCTGCCATGTGTGGGCTGTACACCGATAAGACAGGTCTCTGTTGACTATCAAACGTGAGAACAGTGGCGCCCAACAGATGCGATAAATCAGTGGCCGGCGGCGGCGCCTTTGAGGTATTGTTAACGCTTCCGACGCCAATATTAGCACTTAATTTACTCATGTGTGGACTGTTATCACAATTACTCGTATTTACATTAGTGTCCAGGTACGACAGGGACACGGGGGCCGGCGTTATAAAATTGATGACATTGTTTGAGAAACTATTACTCCTATTGAGCGCCACGTTATGGTCGAAGCCGTTCATAGAGTTAGCCGTTTGTGATATTTGTTGCGTTAGTATTTGTGTTGAGTTTATTGGAAACATAGGCAGCGTCTGGATCTGGACGACGGGCGGCGACATTTGTACTGCGGGTATGGATTGCACGTTAGCACCGGTAGTGAGATTAGACACTAAATGGCCCCCCATTTGGTTCTGTATTGAACTGGTGGTGAGAGGTGTATGTGGTTGTGGTGACGATAGTGTACTATTGGCGGCGGCACTCATGGCCATAGATTTTAACGGTGTAGCCGTCGATATCCCTGAGACAAAAGTGGGTGTGCACCGGGAGGTGGGTTCAGTCAACTGGAGTGGGGTCCGTGTCTGCGGCGAGTCCAACGAATCCAAGTCTCGAATTTTGACCGAATTTGAGTCCAATTTGCTTTGGTCGTCGAAACCGGTGTCCGACCCAAAGCCCGACCCACCGGTCACAGGTCGCGGACCGATCACTATCTGCAACGACTCGTACAGAGCCGTCGGCGAGATGTTATAGATATGAGGTGTGAATCGTTTGACAAATTTATCCCTTTCTTTGTCGCCTTCATTCTCACTGATATATTGAATGAAAATCATTAATAATCTGTAATTAAAGTGCAAATTGAGAGCAAAACAAATCAAGGATTTCTTACACGAGTAGCCGACTGACGCAAACCCAGTGATCTATTTGTCCGTTTTTGTCGTATTGAAGGCAACCCGAAGACTGCAGAAACACGAATGAACCGCTGGCTGTCTTTAACCGGTGCACTATAGTGCCGGTGCCGTTGCTATTGGACAACACTATCCGCAACAAAAATGTTTATTCAATTAGTAATAAATTTATTACTCAATTATGGATTCCTAAGGAATCTAAAACTCACTTAATTTATGAGCAAAAAGGGCTATGGAGTGGTCATCGGGTAGTATATAACTGTAGGCCGACTTTCCCATCACTTCTGAGGGCAAATAACCGATAATTCCGGATATCCTACAATATAATCAAACCATTAATCAATAAATCTATTTATAGTTATATGTGTTTCGCAAACCTGTGATCCGCGAAGAGTAGAGTGCCGTCGAGTGAGTGTCGAGAGACATATTCATCGAGATCGGCGTCCATGAGCGACAACTCTGCCATCGGATTCGTGGGAATGACTTGAATGAATCCTTTGAAGAGAATCCGGTTCTCGGGCTTATCCTCGTCGGGGTCTGAAGGGTAACAGTCGTCGCTTATATCACCGCTTTCTTTGGCAGAATTGGTGATATGTCCGGACACCTGAACCATTTGGTACGTTATCACTTCACTTCGGGGCTGATTCTTCTCACGCAGACGACATTGAAATGATATCTTGTCAGAGGTTTGAGATCCTGTCAGACAATAAGATTCATCATTAATAATGATGTTTGAGTTTACAAAGTGACCTTGTTCGTGGCATATCCCTTTCCAAAATAATATTCTCAAGTTTTGATTAAAAGAATAATGCATATTTATTTTTAAATGACTGCACTTTTATTAAATTGCAAAATAACTAAACAATATAAAAATAATAGCAATATTTGCAACTATAATACTGTATATTATACTGACAATCATATTATTTTGACAACAGAGTTGTTTATCTGTGACAATGTAGTAGTGGACAGACCTTTGGAGACTTGTTGGTGAGCCGTTTGGATTTGTGTCTGGACTAAGTCAACGTCATTCGGGTGCAGGAATGATGTCAGGGAATGACCAATCATTTCAATCTGTTATTTCAAATATCATATCAAATATTAGACACAATTCCTTATACGGTATCGCAAGTAAACAAATATTAATACCATAAATATATTTATATAATATAATTAATTTTCATAATTAGTAATCAAAATAATTAAATTGATATCTCAATTTCGTGATATTCTAGACAGTAATGCATTGATGAGAGAGAGAGAGAGAGAGAGAGAGAGAGAGAGAATAATGTGTAAATCATTTGTGAAATCTTATTCCGAAACATAATATTTGTTGAAAAATTCAATTATCGGTTGCCAGCGTTTAGATAATAGAAAATTATAGAAAAATATTATACAATATATCGGGTTTCGAAATACGAGTCAAATATCAAAAGCAAAAAAATTAAATAAATTGAAAAGTGAAGAACGCGTGGGACATGAGATGTCTATTTGGATGTAATTTTTTAATGAATGGTATTTAATGGTAATGTAAGGCCAGTCGCTAATCGTTAGCTATACAACTCGTTTGCAATCATTAAACTCGTATTAGAGTTAAGGATTGTTTGCAGAGAATAGGAGAAAATCAGAGACCCATCCATACAAGTGAGACACTAATGAATGCAAAGACATATCATTTATTACGAGACTATTTAGACCATTGAAATGATGACAAACGAGAGCATCGCTGGTATGTTATGAGCGCAGGTAGTGGTCGCCCAATAACTACATATTACAGCCTATCTATTGGACATCAAAAACACAATTACTGCTCATTAACGACAAATTATCTCAATTTAAATGTTGCCTCAAATGTAAACTATAAACAGTAATAATTATAACGAAGAAAAATTGATGATTTTTTTCCTTCGCTATACTCGTGTCCATATAGTCTGCAAATGACAAGACTCTGAATAAATTAAGTCCTGAAAACGCATTAAAATCACGGATTTTCGGTCTAAAAGTATTGAAGAAAAAGTGGTGTTCACTGCTGTTATAGTTTAGTGAATGTTTGAATTTCATTAAAAAATATTATTATCAATATTTATCTTTAATTAATTAGAATAACAAATATATATATACCTCCCTTAATAAACACATACATTTCTTAAACTGATTAAGTAGTCTAACAAACAGGAATATTATAATATAATATATTGAAAGCAAATTTGTTTTTCAAAAATTATATATTTATCAAAATGTGCAAAATATTATTGAGATTTACACAAAATTAGTTAAAATTTAAAAACACATAACAGGATAATAATTACATAATGATAACTATTTAAATGTTATTTAATATGAATATGATAGTTTAAATATTATGCAGCATAAAATATAAACGCATACTAAGTAAAGTTAAAGTAAATATCATAAAAGTCATAATTATATCGAAATCTCTATGGCTTTGAGTGTAGTATTTAAGATATAAATTAAACTATAAAAACTTATTTAATTGAGCAAAAACGTACTGGCACAGAGAAAAGGGAGTTATTTATGTGTGCAATGAATTAGCAATAAATATAATGATATTCATCGCAGAATTGTATATATAAAATTTAAAAACACACAGTGTTTCAAAGGTTTTATCAGAAATATATCTTTTATATTTGTACAGAAATGCTATCATAAAACTCAATAATATGTATGATTCAAACGCTTATCAACCATTTCATTCATGCGTTTAAATGTTTTATTAAAAGTTGGTAAATGTGTTCAAAGGATGTGCCAAAAAAAGTGGAGATATTTTAAAACGATTTCTAAAATCATATCATGTTTTTTTAAACCAAAAACTATTGATTAGTTGTAGATTTAAATTTACATCTCACCAACAACTGTATGGTATTTATTTAACTACCACTAAAAATCTCTACAAAGTCAACAACCAATTTGAATAAATCGTTTGAATTTATAAGTAAATCACACAAAAATATTCAGAAAATGGGAAATAATTACTTTGAAAAAAGCAAATCACTCGATACGTATGAGTGACCAGAATGCCGGTGCGATTAGGAGCTAGCAAGAAATGGTTAACAATAATGAACTACTCGTATTGTTAAAAAAAAATATATACATCAGAGAAAATACAATTTAACTTTTTTTGAAAAAAGTCTTATGTGAATGCACTCGACTATAGTTTTTCAAAAATAGTTTCTAAGCAACACTTCTGGAGATTAACTCTAATTTAGATTTTAAAATCACAATTCATTGCATCGATTCTGTATGCTATTTGCCAATCATTTAAAGCAAACAATGAGATTTTCAAATGTTTTTGACATCAATTACTATACATATAACTATTGGATTTGTACGAAAGGTTAAAAATATAGCTTATATTTGGAAAATAATAAACTTCTTATAAATAATAAGACATTCGGTCAATGTCTTCATATATGTCTATAATTTATTTTTATTATTGAGTATTAAAAGTACGAAAACAAAGTCCAGTTCACTATGGCATGACATATATGGGTAGAACTCGAGTCAATTATCTAATTTCATAAACAGTACTAACAGTTAAAAATTGATTTTTACTTTTTCTCATGTCTTTTACACGAATCTCCTTCGACTCAAATCACGTTTCATTAACGCTATAAACAGTTAATTTCCTATAAACTCATATATAATGTCAGATAAATAGGACTTTATTTACCAAAATGATTATCAAATGGCTATTATTATTCATTAATTATCGAGACTTCTGAACAAACACTAAAAAAACGACTAATACAGTAGTTATAGAAAAATTACATTCAATTCAGATAAATAACTAAATAACAAAAATCAATACTAATCGTCCGAGTTAATTATTTTCCTTATTAATTTATTACTATTAAAATTTGTTTACTATTAAACTAGAAATTAATCAAATGATTGCACAATAAGCGCTAAAAATCAGACACAATTAAGCAATTATTGTAATAGAAAATAATTAATCAAATCCATAGAGTGATTAGTGGCAATATTTATAATATTATATTTTTATCAACTATATTAGAAACTAGTGTCAAACAAGTTCTCTGTGTTTAATATCGTAATTAAGGGAAGAAATATATTATATACAGTAATTTGAAAAAATTTTCCACTGTTTGAATCATTAAGATTGAGAAACAAGTGAACAAAATACATGTTGTCAACAGAATAACCTTCAAATTGAATCCAGATTTGAGGAAAATGATGGGTTAAATAATTTGCGAAACAATGTATTTTATATCTAAACAAATGTTATACTAATTGGCAACTAATTTAAAACAGGGAAATACAGAGATGTATTTTAATTTGCTTATCGTTTTCACAAATCTTTGTTAATGGCATCAATTGTGCCAAAAATATATACAATATAACCATTGTTACGATTGCCATTGTCTTTGTGGAAAATCTCGTAAATATTATCAAATGATTAATGGTTTGCATTAAAACTACTTTTTTTACTGAAGTAATGGTTTGCCGGTCGGGAAGTGGACGCTAACCTAATATAAAAAGCATTTCGTATATGAAATCATATCGATATTTCATAATAAAAATGTTTCAGTATTTTTAGAGTTAAAGACAATGAATGGCACACAAAATACTGAAAGTTTCATTAACTATTGATATAATAAATGATATAAAAACAAATATATAAACATTAAGTGTATTAGAATGAGAGAGAAACAGAAAAAAATTAATTTATTCCCTAAAATTGAATCGTCTTATCAACAAAAAAAAACAAGAAATAAAATTATATACCGTATAGACCATAGACGTTCAAAATTTTAAAAATCCCCAAAATAGTGTTTTATAATAATATTAAAAATTTTTAACTATTCAAAACACTAATATTTTCTGATTTAAATGTGACTAAGATTTGTATTAAAAACATTTTTATTTATTAAACAAAAAATGATATATAAATGATTAAAATACAAATTCGTAAGAGATTTCTAAACATACAATAAAAATAATTGAGAAAGTAAGTCATATATGAAAAACTAAGTAATATTCATGAGTATTTAACTAAATGCTACCTTAATCTTTAATCTATACTATAAACTTTAAAATACTAGCGTTGTGTATACTCAGCCTAAATAATAATATATTGTAAATGCATACATCACTAGTTGGTTTCTGGAAACCATATCTGTGCGTCTAAGTCATAGATGTTTAAAAAAGTTGAAAACTGTTTTTGCTTTACTATTAATTTATAAGATATTAAGTTATCGCAAATCATACGAAAGCAACATTTTGTTTGATATTTATTTAATATTATTAAATTTAATTCATAAAAAAAATTATTACAATAACATATAAAACTATCTATAGTAAATTACAATTTTAGCGACTAATGTCTTTATAGCGAAATATAGTTAATCTTATACATAAAATATAAATAATTAATTAATTAAAATTAACAGTATTTCAGCCTAGCGCGTTTATATTTTTCGCCTTACTAACAAGCTCAGCATAATACTCCGTATGCCGGTCCGAATTACGGCATATTTGAAAATTATGGTTGTTGGAAGATCTCATAATACACTCGTCCCTTTTACCAGGGCATGGTTTACTGACATGGCAACTAACTTCCATGCACTTAATTTTCGCGCCCGATATTCTGACACATATCTTATCGAGCGGACAATAACCCCATTTTTCACCATATTTCCAGTTCAAACTGCACTCAATTCCCAGACCAAGCTCCTTTTTCTTGGCTTCCGTTATGGAGTTAAGGTGTACGCAATTTTTCATGGTTGCCGACCCGGGTAGGTCCAGACACGCCAGGCCATCGTTGCACGACTTTTTCTCGTGACAAGGGTTTGTCATGCATTTATTACCTTGGCTCAGTCGGACGCAACCTTTATAATTGGGGCACGCCTTGGGTTCGCCCCATTTGGCATTTAGGTCGCACTCGGAGCCGGGGTTATAGGGGTTAGCGCCAGTATTTTTACCTTTTGACCTCGCTTACTTCGAACTAGCCATAGAGCATGATCGTTTTGGGAACGCTTAATGCGTGGAAGGTTAGGGAAATTGCTCTTATCACCTTCTATCACCTGGATTATGATAAACAAGGTTAAAATAGCCAAAATGGACAATGAGTTTGTGTGTTGAATGGCAACCATTTTTTGATAAAGTACTGTAAAATATCTGTATGGATTATTTAATTGGGAAATTTAAATTACTAAAATTAGAAATGGAATTTATTATTTTATGTTTTAATTTTTTCGCTCAAAAATTTTATTGTCACTACAGTCTAGCAAAAAGTTTATATGGAATAATAATACAGTATTATATTCACTGTAAAGTGTTATTATAAATTTACCCTGTACAGTATAATACGTGTCAACCCTATACACTATGATGATTTTGGATATTTGCAATAACCTCGGTAACAATTATGAAAAACAATAATGTCAAAATAAGTAGTTTGATTTTCATGATTAATGATTTATTTTTTAGATTTTAATTTTCAACATGATTTAAATAAATATATTAACTTTTAGTAATTAATTCAATGATAGTGTGCATGTATGTATTTATGTATAATAATTTTTTTTAAATATTTAAACATTATAATAATTTTATTGATACTAGTATTACATGACTATGTCTTAACAGTTAGTGTATAGCGACACCAGCGCCACCGGAATGAAGGCTAACTATAGTACCTCCAGTTCCACCGGCACTCCAGCTCCACCCGTACTACATTATACCTTTACTCCAAATTCCTAACCATCCAGTTTTAAAATTAATTTTATGTTAATATTAATAAAAAGTCTTTAAAGTTCCCATATGTTTTGGAAAATACAGTATAAAAGTAATTAGAAAATGTTAAGGTACACTTTTTGATTTCAAGTGAAAAGTTTTGTAGAAAACTAGTATAAAGCCGTCAAATAAAAATTTATTATTCAATGATAATCTAGTTGATTTCATCAGATACCAGATATAGAGCCCCTATATCTTGCAATAAGTTATAATAAAATTCATTTATCTAATATTTGAATTAAAGTATTGTACAATTATTTCATTATTGTCTTATCCTGATAAATTAATTATTTAAATTATTACTACTAAAGTGGTATTAATACAAAATTTTTTAATAAAATATTTTAAAACTCTAGTTCTAAATCATTATATAATACTATAATCTAAATTATTAGAAGATTATTTTAAATAGTTATGGTCTATACTAATATATTTAAAATAAATAAATACACCTTTTAGCACAAGCAAACAAATCACAATAAATGCCTTGTTTGCACAGATTAACATTTGTACGGTTAAACAGTTTTGGCATTGATATAACATTATATAATAATTATGACAGTTAAAAATACTAATTACAAATAAACTTATATATCAAAGTACCTAATATTAAAATAAAATTGTTATAAAATAAAATGATTATCACAAAAATATTTGTATCATTAATCATACTTAATTCAATGGCTAATGCATTTTTCTGGAATAGACTCAACAGGCAGAATGTACGTTTAACATATATAAGTAGGCCTTGTTAAATAATTAATTTTTTTACTAATTAGACTATGCGCATTTGTTTTAACTCACAAGTAGCTACAATTCAGGTAAAATATTTTATATTAATTTATTTTAAGATGGTAATTTTTTAATTTTAACATTATTGTTTACTAGAGCACCTGTATTGCATGCAATGCACTCACCTACGCACAAACTGTAAGTAAACCAGTAATATAATTATTTTAAATTAATATTTAATTTTTGTGTTTTTTATTTAAGTGTCAAACATGTACAGGACAGGTAGGTACTTATTTAATTATATGGATGATTTTTAATGTTACTTTTAAATCAGTCAACTCTCCCTGCTCAAACAACCGCGCAACAAATGTTATGTGTTATACAAACATGCCAACGCTCATTTTATCAAACTAATTATGTCATTGGATAAATTATAAACTTGATATAAATTTTCTAAATATTAAAAAATAAAATTTCTTCTATAATACAATATTACAAAAATTGTATTATTAAATGCATTATTGAAAATTCAATATAATGTATATCTCTTTTTGAATAGAAAAGTTAGAACCTTGCTCTAGATATTTGTTTACCAAGTAAATACTAATTTAATTTTTAAAATCCTATTTTCTATTATATTTCAAAAAATGATTTCTAACTTTATTTTAATATTAGTACAGTATTTAAATATACTGTACTAATATTAAAATAAAGTTAGAAATCATTTTTTGAAATAAAGGTTATATCCTCAATATATTTTATAAAAATAAAATTCATATTTTTCAAACTTCTAAAGTAAATATAGATGTTCCTATTTGTAAATTAATTTATATTAAGATTTAAATTACTATTGCATTGATGTAAAATATTTGATCAGGTGTTAAATAATTATATATATGTGTGTGTGTATTAGACATTGAAAAATTGTTATAAAACGTGCTAACATATCGTATGTCAAATATTAAACTAGCGTTGTCAAAGTCAACTAATATCACTATGTTCATCACAAAGTTTTTACTATCCTTATTACTAACAATCTCGTTTGTTAACGGAATATTGTGGAATACATATAACCAGGGAAATGTATGCAATATTTTTCTAAATAAATAAATAAATAAATAAAATTATTTGTATTACATAAATCAGATTGTTCAGGTGCGTTTTAACTCGCAAATACCTAATGTCCCGGTAAATATCTGAATATAGTAAATAATTTGTATTTTTATTCAAATATTCTTATATTATACAGAGTGGTTATATATATTGTAACTCATTGTATTATATACAAGCAGTGAGTATAAATTAAACTTTTAAAAATTAACTATTTTTATTTAGAAAAATAAAATTTTATTTTTCTAAATAGTCTCTACAATGCACCGGTCAGGTAAGTTTAAATAAATTATTTTATAATAGTCTATTTTAGAAATATAATAAAACTAAAGGTTTATTTTATATTTTATAAGTATACTGTACCAGTGATCACAAATATAAACCAGATGAATTGTTTAATACAAACATGTCGATTATCGTGGAATCAACTGGCTATCATCGGATAAACTATCAGGATAAATTATCAGAAATTGTATTAAAAATCTTAAAACAATTTTTAAAAATTTATATTTTATTATTTATTGGAAACTTTAAAACAAAATATAATAATTACAAAAATTAAAAGGCACAATTTTATTATAACTACATTATTCAATTAGTTTAATTAAAAAATTAATTTATATTATAAAAGTTATCTAAACAATGTTATCACATATAGTAATCTAAATTGTCTATTATTAAAATATAATTAAAGTATTTACTTTGATTTTTTAAAGCGAGCAAATTTATCATTATGAACTGTATAATAATAATAAAGTTCCTGATCACTTGTCTCGTGTACTTCAAAACTCGCTCCCCCTACAATGTTAGCCAGTTCAAATGCGTCATTAATAGGTTCAGGCTTATTTTCAAACCCATTATTGACCAATAATAACTTATGGTTCTCGAAATTGTACAGGCTCTTTGAGTTTAAGTAATATTTTAAGTCAGAAACACTTTTAATCTTGTACTGTAGTAAAATGTCCTTCATCACGGGGTAACTTGTCCCTGATGCGAGTTTAACAGCGTAATTTGCGGACATTATGCACACTATGATAAATATAATTATAGAAATTTAAATGAAAATTTAAAATTGTAATATTTTCAATTAAAACAAAATGTTAATAATATTGTTGTGATAATAAAAATAAGTTATTATTTCACAAATTACAAAATATTAATTAGAAGTTAATTATTTTAATTATGGTATATTTATACAAAGTTTATCTAATTTTCATAAGTTTTTAATAATGTCTGAAAGGGTATGTAAACAGTCCTTGTATTTAGTTTTCGATTACTTTATAGACATTTCATAACTAATTCATATTAATATTAAATTCTTCTTGTTTATATAAAACATTAAACATTTAAAATATTATAGCATTTATAAAATAGATACTGGCATATTTCATATCATCTGATAACGTATTTTAAATTAAAATACGCATTTAAATTAATTTATTAATATATTAATAGCTTTATTGTTAAAATATTAAACAAATAACTCTATCATTTAAGCTGAAACACTAAATTTAATTTTTTAAAAACCTCGTAAATATAAAAATATATATTAGCAAACATTTTCAAAACAAATATTTATTATAATATTATAAATGTGTCAGGATAATTTCAATACAAAATATAAAAGTTCTATAATTAGAAAACATATAATTTTGTAGTGATATTGTAATAAAAATAAATTATTGTTTTTATGTATATTGATTTTATGGCATAAATGTTAAAATAAATATAACGTTCAGTGGGACACAATAAATTTAATTTTCAATACGTTACTTCATACTAAAACTTATGTAACAAAAAAATTTAAAATAAATATTTAGCTTCATAATTGTGTTACAGCTCAAAATAATATAATTAAGTGATATAAGTATAAGTTATTTAATTGTTTCAATATAAAGATTTTTAACAATGTGTCCTTGATCACTAAACACAATATTCTTTGCACGTGTTCTCATGGTTACCAAATATTATTCATTATGCATTGATTATAATAATATCGTTCTTGGTCGCTTTTGTCTTTTATCACATAATTTGCACTGAGGCCAAATTGAGCAAGTAGGTATTCGTTGTTATTTCGTCCCCAATCAATATATTGTTCATTGTTCGTTTTATTCGAACTTTGTGCCAGTAAATTGTGTGTCTCATATCGAAACATACCTTTCGCATTTAGAAAGCGTTTCAAGTCAGCTACAGTTCTAATTTGGTGTTCATTTATAGCAACCTGGCTTAAACTGATAGCTTCTCCAGTCGCTAAAATAACGATAATTTGCATTATATAATATAATTTATGTATCAATATTGTGGCCCAGGTTTTTTGTATTTATAGTTTTGATAACTTATATTTATTGTAATGGCAGTTTGAAGTAAACAATATATATTATCAAATCAAATAATCAAATAAATGTGCTTTCATAAAATACGTTACATTTTGTAGTGAAGTATTTATTGCTAAATAGGCATTTGATTTTTATTAATAGAGTAATAAATAAATAAACTTTATTCAAGAACTTGTTTGAATAATACAATAATTGTATACAATTAAGTAAAATATTCTTTACATTTGTTCACAAATTTTTTATAATTAACTTCATTTCGAGTATCATTTGGTAATTCATTAAACATTTTCATTGAATATATAAAAAAGTTTTGATCACAAAAATTATTACGAGTTTTAAAAATGAAAATATTTCTACCGTTTCTATAATTACAGTTAATTTTATACATTTGTTTCCAATTGTTTGGTACATCAATGCTATCATTAATACATTTGAATACAATTTTCATAATATTTGTTTTTCGACGA